TCCATCTTCCTCCATCTCCTTCTACCTCCATTGTCGCTTTTTCATCTCCAAAGCTCTCCAATGTTCCATTAAGAAGCAAGAGGAAGAAGTTTTGATGTGTTTTTGAGGTTTAGGGGAGGAAAGAATCGAAATCCATGGAGAGCCGCAATTGGGAGAGAAAGGGGAGAAAAGAAAATGAAGATTAGGGTTTGTGAAACCCTTTCTTTTCTTTTATAGCTGGGTGCTCTCGCCCGGGCGAGAAGCCCACGATATTTTAAGTTTCAAAACACGGACCCTCTCGCCTGGGCGAGATTCTTTCGCTCAAGCGAGAATCTCACAGCCTGCCCAGGCTTCTCTCGCTCAAGCGACCAATTCCTCGCTTGGGCGAGGCTCCCATAATTTCTAATTTTAAAACACTGAGTCTCTCACTTGGGCGAGGCCCTCTCGCTCAAGCGAGAATCTGACAGTATGTCCCATTCTTCAGGACTGTTACTTAATTTCAAGGAGGATAAATTTGGGGTGTTACAATCCTTCCATTCTAAAAGAAATTTCGTCCCCGAAATTTCATTAGGTTACTCTCAGGAGGACACTAACATCGCCTAGACAATAGGCACAAGATAAACTCGACCAAGCTTAGGTCCAACCGTCTAAACCATTAAGATTACTTAGATTATAACCAAGGCACATATCACCTGACCATGACACCATATAGTCAGATTTTGGACTAAACCTCAAGAGTCCAAATACTAAAGTCAAACATTAGAATACTAAGAGAAAATTTATCGCAATCGGAAATAAAGATTCTCAAGCATCCTCTCCATCACCAAAGATCTCCCTGATCGACCACTACAACAATCGTTCCGAACGATCAACCTAAATGGTCAGAATCACAACAACACTTGCGAAACCAATTCGAAGTGGGACTCAATACCCATCAGTTACCAAGATGTACTAGCTCGCACTCCAAATGCAATAGCTAGGTCGACATCCGCTCGATGGAAACAACGTCATTCCATTTCATACGTGCCAATAACCACGATTTACTCAAAAATATTCACTAGCATTTCAATTCATACTCGCTACAACACAGAACATGATATTCATTCAAGTAGCATTTAGACAAACAAGATTTTTGGAGTCTTTTCACATACGAAATAAAATCACCAAGTCATTACCCAATTTAATCTAACATTTTCTACCACAAAAGAATGCGGTTTAAGTAGATTTGCTAATCCATATCCTCAACTTTAATAGTAGGCACACATTTAGCACTCAAGTCTACCTCATATCCAGAAACACATGGTCATAATTACATCACATTCATCCAAGATGAGGTTGTTAAAAATTCTGATTTCAACATGAAACTTAATCAATGCTTACCCACATAGTACTCTTCATTCAAAAATGATTTTCGAAAATAGATTAGATGTAAGTTTCATGGCAATCATCTTGTGGAAGCTAGGGCTTTCATAATCATTTCAAAATAACTTAAAACCCTTTTTCTCATGCAACACTAAACGCCCAAATCACAGTTTTCAAAAGGCTATTTAGTTCTGGAGTGTCAATCCATTTGAGACATTAGAATCCTCACCGTCCATTTAATAAGACTTACTATGCAATAATACTTCAATTATGCATAGCAATCACTAACACCCATGAAACTAAATGAGTTTCCGAGGTTCAACCAAGCACATTATTGGTGCTCACTAGTAATATATATATTTGTTATGACGCATACTCAACCTTCACAAAAATGAATTATTATAGACCAAAAGTTTCACCTACCGAAGATAATCCACTACCTCTCCGGGTAGGCAACTCAACATTGGTCCACTACCCCTCCGGGTAGGCAACTCAACCATGATCCACATTGGAACAAGGTTAGTAAACCATTTTGAAATTCATTTTCCTTGTTGCATCATTTAACATCCAATATGAAACGTAGTCACAAATTTTGCTCAAAATTTTACCCTAGCATTTTCATATTGTATTCCCTACCACAAAGAAACAGGATAGTCATTCACAAAAGCGTCTAAACAAATAAGACTTTTAGAGACCCTCCTCGGGTAAACAATGAAACCATTCATTCACTAATCTTATTGCATGGGGTCAATCAGACACTCATTACCATTAGTCTATACCACGGAGGGCAAGTCAGACACTATACCACAAAGCGCAAGTCAGGCACTATAGCACAAAGGGAAAGTCAGTCACTATACCACGAAGGGCAAGTCAGTCACTATACCACGAAGGGCAAGTCAGGCACTATACCACAAAGGGTAAGTCAGTCACTATACCACAAAGGGCAAGTCAGTCACTATACCACGAAGAGTTAGTCAGACACTATACCACAAAGGGCAAGTCAGGCACTATACCACAAAGGGCAAGATAGTCACTATACCATGAAGGGCAAGTCAGTCACTATACATGGAAGGGGAAGTCAGGCACTATACCACGAAGGGCAAGTCAGGCACTATACCACGAAGGGCAAGTCAGTCACTATACCACGAAGGGCAAGTCA